TGCCCAGTTGTGGATGTGGCTGGTGATGGAAGTAAAGGCCGATTCTGTAAAGAACAATATTGCATAGGAACCTGAAATGTTAGGTCCATGAATCAAGGCAAGTTGGAAGTGGTCAAACAGGAGATGGCAAAAGTGAATGTCAACATTTTAGGAATCAGTGAACTAGAATGGACTGGAATGGGTGAATTTAACTCAGAAGACCATTACATCTACTACTGTGGGCAAATCCCTTACAAGAAATGGAGTAGCCATCATAGTCAACAAGAGAGTCCAAAATGAAGTGCTTGGATGCAATCTCAAAAGCAACAGAATGATCTCTGTTCATTTCCAAGGCAAACCATTCAGTATCACAGTAATCCAAGTCTATGCCCCGACCAGTAATGCTGAAGAAGTTGGACGGTTCTCTGAAGACCTACAAAAACTTTTAGAACTAACACCCAAAAAAGATGTCCTTTTCATTATAGGGGATCGGAATGCAAAGGTAGGAAGTCAAGAAATACCTGGAGTAACAGGCAAATTTGGCCTTGGAGTACAGAATGAAGCAGGGCAAAGGCTAATAGAGTTTTGCCAAGAGAACACACTCGTCATAGCAAACACCATCTTCCAACAACACAAGAGAAGACTCTACACATGGACATCACCAGATGGTCAATACCGAAATCAGATTGATTACATTCTCATATCCCATATTCAAGACCCATTTTAAATGCTACTCCCCAGTTTGGGGGTTAGTGTACTTGATAAACCTACTCACAGATAAGTGCGAGACTTGAGGGAAGTAAGATCCACCTATCTGGAGCTAAGGAGAGAGGCTGAAACCAGAGACAGGAATTTAAAAACTGTCAAAATAAAGTAGATGAGACATACTAAGGTGAACATGAGAGTGAGAGGAAGACACAGAGGAGGTATCCAATAAATAAATATCTGCTGCATTGAATCTAATATGAGGCTTCTTATAGGTGTATTATAGGAAATTTAAAGCAATTCTTATTTTGAGAGGAAAAAAAACACTGAAAAAGGAGGAAATATTTCCCTCTCAATTTCCTTCAAGTTGCACAAAAAACTTAATTTAGAAAATTCCAGAAATATTCTAGAAATATTCACCATACATTGGAAATAAGCACACACAAAAGTCTCAGGAAAAATAATGAAAAAGCTGCACAGATCCTATTCTGGAATGTTTTACTTCAATCACTCAATTCTTTTTTAAAAAATAAATATCAGGAGTTGTGGTATATGGAGGGGGGCATATATCCTCAACATAAACAGAAATCTAAAAGCAATTTTCGGCAGCACATAAAGGCATGATTCAAATTTTACTCAATGCCTGAGTGACCTTCATTTTAAGATTTACATTGAACTAGAAAAATATTTAAAGATTATAAAAGATTCTTCCAATATTATGAGATCAGAAGGGAAGGGTTTGCTTATTTTAGCACTCTTCATAAAGACTAACTTTGTCTGTCAAGAAAATCTGCACTGAACTAAAATTAAAGGAAAATACTGTGGTCATACTGATGTGTTTATCTGGTTTTTACTCTTGTTTTTAAAAACAAAGTTATACAGTGAGCTCAGTCAAAATGAATACCCAGTACATTTTTGCAAGTCTCAAGAAAAGCACTACAACTATATACAGTTTCAGAGAGCATATAATTTTCTCTCAAATGCAATAACTTTTCCTCCAGCTTACAGTGAGGTCCTGGTTATATCCTGTATTAGGACAACCTGAGAAGAACTCAATATACTACTTTACTCAACTAGCTTGACCCACAAAATCCCCTATGTTATCTGAAATGCAAGGATGGGCCACAATAAGAACAGAAGTCAATTGATGATGCAGATCTCTGATGGTCCTTAGAGGATGTAGCCTTGAGTTACACTGAGTGCACCAAGCCAAACCCTTTTATATTTGATGTGATTTTAGTTAAAAAAAGGAAGCCTGAAAAGTCACACTATGTTTTAATATAAATGGAAAATAAACAAGGGGTTGATTTAAGAAAGTAATTTAAATACGCAGTATTAAAGAGTTATAAAATTATATTTCTTTTTCTCTCTGCGTATATACGTATGCCCATATTGAGGCAGTACGCATGTATGTGTGTGTGTGTACAAATAATCCAGATACAAATAGTCAATATCAGCCATCTGAATTTGTACAATTTTATCATGAAGTAACATGTTCTTCAAAGTAGTCTTTCTCATAATGTACTTTAATGGTCAGTTAAAGAGAGAAAAATAATGCAGTTTAATCCTTTAAGAAGACATCTTGGATAAGAGTTGTGTATCCTCAACTGGCCTAAAAATATTCTGCAATCAAGATTTGGAGAAAACAAACTATCAATTAGATTTGTTAAAAGATTAAGTATTTTGGGGGATGACTGTTATGTGTATACCATGAGGGAAATTTTTTAAAATGTGAAATATTAGGAATAAATAATGCAAACAGAGTTACAATTCATTTTCCATGGGAGTATTGAATACAAATAAAGGTTGTAAGCAACCAATAGGGCTTCCCTGGTAGCCCAGCTTGTAATAAATCCGCCTGCAATGCAGGAGACCCAGGTTCGATTTCTGGGTTGGAAAGATCCCCTGGAGAATCGCATGGCAACTCATTCCAGTATTCTTGCCTGGAAAATCCCATGGACAGAGGAGTCTGGTGGGCTATAATCCATGGGGAAGCAAACAGTCAGACACGATTGACTGAGTAAGCACCGCACCGCACAGCAAAAGCAACCAGTAAAAGTCAATACCGTGTCAGTACACGTTTTAAATAGGGCTTACTTAATATTTTGAGTCAGTTACCAAAAGTAGTTTATCTGGTACAGATGCCTAAAAATAGCAAGTGTTCAGATTTGCTCCAGAGTGGATCTGGAATTATAAGGATTCAATCCAGAAAGAGTAAACCAGAATGAGCGTGCACGTGCACACACATACACCACCATCACCACCACCACCAAATTTCCTGGGCTGCCTACAACCACGGGAATTAGAAGGGGGACCTAAAACTACTGAGACTGAAGGGCACCCATAGTATACTGAAAAGAGGAATCTGACCTGCTAAATAAGCTTTTTAGGAAAGAATGTGAAAGCAAAGTACACCGCAAAGAATCAAGTAATTATGTATACAGTAAAACAGAGTAATGGCTAACACTCCAAAGTATATTGGATATGAGTTACTAGCAGTATTACTTCCTCCTGTAAGTCTTTCCTTCATACCATAATGAGAAAAAAATGACAGAAGTGACCATTTGCTTATTTATGCAAATGGTACCTTGTACCTTGTATGCATTCAATCACAAAATCTACACCATTGTAGTGCAAAATGGGATTGTAAACTCTTGAAGGCAGGAGCTGTTCACTTTTACATCTCTATAACCTAGTAGTGTGACACACAGTGACTTGCTATTTAGTGATTCATTCTACTATGTGTTAATTCCACAGTCACCTAATTTACACACTCTTAGACTAAATTAGCCTCTGTTGGGAATTCCCTGGCCGTTCAGTGGTTAGGACTCTGCACTTCTACTGACAGGGGCTGGGGTACAATCCTGCAAGCCACACAGCTTGGCCAAAAGCAAAACAAAAAAATAGGCTCTATAAAAAGCCAGGGAAATTGATAATGAATATCTATATGAGTATTAACTAATACTCATTAATATTAATACTAATATATCCTAATATACTAATTAATACTAAGAATCCCAGGATATATTTGATCAGCAGAACATAAAAGGATAAAAAAACAGCATTAACTTTTGTTCTTTTTTTTAGCATTAACTTTTGTGCAGGCCAACAGCCTAATGGGTTATAAACACACCCTTCTGAGAGAATTGGCATTGAAACATGTATATTATCACGTGTGAAACAGATCGCCAGTCCAGGTTGGATGCATGAGACAAGTGCTCAGGGCTGGTGCACTGGGAAGACCCAGAGGGATGGGGTGGGGAGGGAGGTGGGAGGGGGGATCAGGGATGGGGAACACATGTAAATCCATGGCTGATTCATGCCAGTGTATGGCAAAAACCACTACAATACTGTAAAGTAATCAGCCTGCAACTAATAAAAATAAATGAAAAAAAATAAAATAAACACACCCTTCTGGCCTAGAGATAGACAAGCAAATAAACAAATAAACCCTTCCCTCTTGTAAGCCCTGAAAATCAAAGATTTAACTAATACTGCCTTCCTTTGAAAAATATCAATATGGGGATACATTTTTAAATTTTAAAATAATTTAAACTCTAATCTAAGCTAGATTTTTCTAATTATTTATTGTTTATATTTCAATAGACACAAATCTTGACTCTAACTCTGGAACCCAAGAACTCTTAGGTCATAGCCACCAAAGAGTTTTCTGTGATGCAGGAATACCTCCATCTGATGGAACTTTAGGTGTCTGTTAATTGTATAATCCTGGAAACTAAAAATCCAACTTTTTTTGGTGGTGGGGTTAGATACTCTTCTATTTAATTACATTTCAACAAATATTTATCATGTGCTTAAGATGTACCATGCCCTGTGCTATGTGATGTGAAAACTATGACAGGTTGAACTAAACTCCCTGACATCAAGAAGCTCACAATCTAGAGGGAGGGAGAGATGTGTAAATAACCACCATAAATCAAGGGAACAAGTGACATACTTACAATACATATGCCATCATTTCTGAGGTTGAGACAGACCAGGCCATTAAGAATAATGTGTGAAAGTCCAGGAAGAAAGCTCTTTCCTGACAAAGGTTATGTGTCAAGGCTCAGCTGCCTTTCTGCTCCTCCATCAACCCAAAAGTTCAGGTGTGGAAAAATGGTACAGCTCAGTATTGGATGCATTCAGGATACAGCTGCTAAATCTAAATCTATTTTGGCCCTACAAATGGAGCTGGATTTTGCCTGAAGGCTGCCAAATTCTAATTTAAGACATTGCCTTTCAAAAAACAGAATTTTAAAAAATACTCATAATGAAAGTAACTTATGACCTAAATGATCCAGTGCACACATTACCTTTAAATATGATCCATAGTATTTCGTTACATATGAGCTGTCACACTGACTCAAAACCGTTATTTCTTGCTGAATGTCTTCAATTTCATCTTCGGCTTCCTCGAGGTCTATGATTTTAATAGCAACCACTTGCTGGGTACGGTTATCAATTCCTTTGAAAACTTCTCCAAAGGAGCCTTTTCCAATGCGTTCTAATTTCGTGAAGAGCTCTTCTGGATCGGCTATATTATTCTGAGGGGGCAGGGAGAGAAGAAAGGGAAGAACACAAACATTTTGTATCAAGGTTTTAAATGAAGGGAAATAAATCACGTAAGACAATACCACATTTCTCTAAAAGAAAGCATACAAATTCCCTTGACTCTCCACATGTGCTTTGTTAGAACAACTGTAACCCAAACGGTCAGCTAGTCCATATTCTATTGGATCACCCACATTAAATGGGCTTAGCTGATCCTGCTATCAGAAACAATCTCATACAGCAAATGTTGTCTCTGGTGCATGCCAAAGGGCCAGACTCTTTTTAGAATAAAGCAGCTGACTATACACAATTTGCACATTAGTGCAATGGTAGTGATAGTGAGAGAATACCTAACCTACTGTAGGTAGGTGCGTCATTAAAATTCTTACATTCCACCGGCAAAATATTACCTTTAAACTCTCCGACTTGGACAACCCAATCACAGCACCTGTACTTGAAAACCACCCTGTAAACAGCACAGAACACAAAAGACCCAAGAAGTCTTTTTTTCTTCTTCTTCTTCTTTATTTGGGATCCTATCTCTATGTGTGGCTCAGATGGTAAAGAATCTGCCTGCAACGCAGAAGGTCTGGGTTTAATTCCTGGGTTGGGCAGATCCCCTGGAGAAGGAAATGGCTACCTACTTCAGTATTCTTGCCTAGAACATCCCATGGACAGAGAAGCCTGGTGGGCTATAGTCCATGGGGTTGTATAGAGTAGGATATATGACTGAGCAACTGACACTTTCAACTTTCATCTGTATGTAATGCTTTCATCAATGGCTGAAAGTAAAATTCCAGAATAAGTCAATATTTTGCTACAGCAAAATCTGAATCAAGCATAAGTTTTTCAGTTAACAAATGTATTGGCGAGACTTAGATTTTATAACTTCACTGTCCTTCCTTGACTCAGAAATATCCTTTATCTAATAGTGTACAATTTTTATTTCAAATTTGACTCCCACAGGATAACCCTTAACCTTCCTTAAATTCATATTGCTGAATATATACTGCTGATCAAGTAGAAAAAATGATTTTCAAACCTTATTTCCAAACCAAAGGGCATGTTACTAAGTAATTTTACTTTTTCATGGAAGGGCATTTTATTTTAAATATAATAGCAGTATATACATGTCAATCTAATTTATACTTAACTGCCTTATTAGTCTACATCTAAAACTTTACTTTGAGTTCCTTCAAAATATAGAAGAATGTAATATAGTTCTAACTTGTCTATATTTAATTTGTTAATTGCACCTAGATTATCTGTTCATTTATTACAATTTAACCTGGTCATCAATTTCAGGAGGCAAATTATATTTATTAGCATATTCCCCTAATATCTTTTTTATTAGACAAATAGATCATTAACATTATTTTTCTCTCAAGTTCATTGTACCATCATCACCAAACAGACCCAGTAAACTGCCTGCTTTTGAGTAACTTAAAAACTTATGACTGATTTTATTTTATTTATTTTTTCATTTATTTTTATTAGTTGGAGGCTAATTACTTTACAATATTGTAGTGGTTTTTGCCATACATTGACATCAATCAGCCATGGATTTACATATGACTGATTTTAAAGGATTTCACCAATTTTTCTCTTTTCGACCTGCCTAAAAGACAGTTTACACATGACCTGCTTAATTTATAAGCTTCCCCATTCTCCTTGGTTGGACTTTTTACATTTTTAAAAGACAACTTTCCATGTATGCCACAGTCTCTTTGGTACGGCAAGCTACTTGTTATTTCCACCCATCTCCAGTACTCACATGGGATAAATACATCTTCGGCTGCCCATATGGGCTTTAAGAAATAGTTTAGTCTTCTGTAAAGTGCAAATGTTTCTTTAATGCCAACATTTTGTTATAATACCTTCTACAAAACTTGAGTACCATCGTCATTGATTAACTTGGTGCTTAATTTCTTACCAAGACAATGTGATTACTATCACATAATAGCTAACCCACAAGTTACTTCTTCCTACTTTTGGTAATGTTTCTTTTCTTTCTAGTAGCTTGTGGCAAAAATACTCACCAAATAGCTCAGTGATAGGTTCATCACCTTACAGTTTCCTAAATTCAGTGAATTTGGAAAAATAAAAAGAGCAAATCTTTCAGGTTTTCTGATGTAACTACAAAGTACTCTAAAAGTTATAAATATACCATTGGTTACAAAGTAGACAATATGTACTTTCTGATAACACATTCTGGACTACAAGGTATATTAACTGCATGATGAGATTTTTTTTTGTTCTTGGAAGAAACAAAGATTAAATCCTAATCTTCCTAATTCATGTTTTAAAAGGATTTGACTGAAACAACCACCCCGAGGGAGAACACAGCTGTTCTTGCTTTCTATAATAAATGGGTTCCTGAAAGTATGTAAATCAAAGATTTAAAAATCAAGTCACATTTTGAATTTTAAACATGCTCTGAAGTGAATCCTAATTCATCAGTGTAATTTAAGAATTTAAATCAAGGAATACAAAGTTGGAAAAAGAGAAAGATCTATCATTTATACAACATTTGCATTTCCCAATCTTTCATTGGGGGACTAAAATATTATTGTTTGGGGGTTTTCTCATACAAAACCCCAACTTTCAGAGTGAAGGAAATCTTGAAAACAAGTTTTCACTAGTTATAACCTGACCTCCCTGACTTCCTAAATCTGGAATAGACAATACCCAAGTTCTAATTCCCCATTCACCACATCACCAGCTTCTTAAACCAAAGTATCATAAGTCTTTATTAAGACATATTTCTTTCCGGCTTTTCATGCAAGGGCAAAAGTCAAGTAAATAAATGGTAAACACTCCAAGCAATGTAATTTTAAAACCACCTTATAAAGACGCTGGTTTGCCCAATCATTCACATTCACTCTTCTTTAGAGCCTCTAAGAAAATCAAGTCAGCTCCCTCTCAACCCAAATCAAATATTCTTTTAAGAATATTAAAATGTTTAAATCTATCTCTACTGCAAATGAATTTATTGCAATATCTGTGTTTGCATTGCCTTCTCAAAGCCATAGCCCAGGAAGAAGCTCTAAGTTCTGCAACAGCAAAAAGGATGAATGGCTAAATTCATGTCACATTTACTCACAACTAATGGTAGGTGATTTATACATGCTGCACAAAAATGATGGGTCTGTGAAAATGAACACCTCAGAGGTCCCCCTCAGGACATTCTCTTATTCCCTGACCTTCATCACCTGTCCTCTGCTTGGATGTGAACTCTCCAGCTATAGGTACATTGTTGCAAACTGAAGTCTTAGACAGAGGGTATGATCACCACTAAAACAACAATGATAACAACAACCTTTTACTATGGAAATATTCTTAGAAAGTCCAAAGGGAAAAAATGGAGGATGATCATCTTGTCTCTCATGGAAAGTCAGGGGCAGATGGGTGGGAGATCAAGATGGCAGAGTATGAGGATGCTGAGTTCACCTTCTTCCACGAACACATCGAAAGACATCTGCACGTGAAACAACTCTTGTTGAACACAACCTGGAACCTTTATGGCTCTTCTACAACCAAGGTTACAAACAAAGAATGCACAGAGTTGGGTAGGAAGGGAGGAAATGCAATCTGGCCAGGACAAGTGCCTAGAGTAAGGGACACACAATTTCACAGTCTCAGGGATCCTCCCTGGGGAATGATGGGTTAAAGACACACGTTGGGCATGACTCTGGGAAGACAATCCCCTTAGCTGGTTTGAAAACCACTGGGACTTACCAGAGGGCTGCAAGAAACCAACACTCTGCTCGTGAAGCACATGCACACACTTGCTTACTCTCACGGAACAAGGCAGAGGAAACAGACTGAAAACTGCCTGGGCTGCTGGCTCTTTTCCCACAACTGCCACAGCCTGTTCCCCAGCCTGGCCGGGTGCCCGCCCCAGCTCCTCTCGCTCCAGCACAGTGCACTGCTGCCAAGGCTGCCGCCGCCCTCTTAGAGAGAAGGAAGCTGCCTTGGGCACATCCCTGCCTCTGAACAGGGAGAAGGAAGCCATCACCAGCATGCACGCCAGGAAACAGCCTGAAAATTGCCTGGGGCTCTGACGAACTTGCGAGGACGGTCTCGGCACTTACCCTGGCCTGTTCTGCAGGCCTCTGCTAGCCCCCGTTGTTCCACTGCTGCTCCCCACTAGGGCAGAGGCGCCACTGCCAGGGGGGATGCACACACTGGAAACGGAATCAGCTAGGACCTCATCCTCAGGGCTTCTGCTCCAGTACCTTGAGCACCAACTCTGCCCCCAATGGGGTGGTGATGGCCACTGAGCATAGGAGAACCGGCTTCAATCTACTTCTCCCGCCGCGAGGAAAAAAAGGCGGGAGAAGCCCTGGCAGAACTGAAGCCAGGGCTCTAGCCATTCCATCTCTAGCCCCATCTTCTACCATGGTGATAGCTGTCAGCACACCCTGGGGGAAGGTGCGACTCCTGCTCACGTCAGATTCAGCTCTCCCACCAAAGCCACTGGGTACATGGAGACTGCATAGGGATGCTCCCACAGAAGCAACTTTAAAGAGACAGAGATGTTAGGGGACGAGGATTTTAAAATGTAGATATTTTAGAATGCGGTTGACCTTATATGACTACCAGTTTAAAACAAGTAGGTATAGTAATAGGTCAACAGTAGGTATAGTAATAGGTCAACCTGATGGTAACCACCTATCAAAAATCTACCCCAGATAAAAAAAAAACTAAAAAGAAAGGACCATACCACTAAAGAAAATCATCAATTAACAAGGGAAGAAACAGAAGAAATGAACAGATAACTACCAAAACAACTGGAAAAGAAGTAATAAAACAGAATAACAACATACCTATAAATAATTACTTTAAATGCCAACGGAATAAATGCTCCAATCAAATAGGGTGCCTACTGAATAGCACAGGGAACTTTTCTCAATACTCTGTAATGACCTATATGGGGAAAAAATCTAGAGCGGGTATTTATTTATACATAACTAATTCACTTTGCCGTACA